AGATAGATAGATAGATAGATAGATAGATAGAGAGAGATCTTCTTCTTCTTCTTCTTCTTCTTCTTCTTCTTCTTCTTCTTCTTCTTCTTCTTCTCCTTCTTCTTCTTCTTCTTCTTATGCTGCGCGGGTGGTTGTGGTGAGCGCCGCGCGATCTCGCAAGACAACGCACCGCCATCGGCCAGCGGTGGCCAGTCGGTCATCGCCATTGCCGCGCACTGCCTTTTCCAGAACGGCGGCCATTTTAGTGCCCGGTCACGGCCGAACACGGCCGAACAGGGCCGAACGAGGCCGAACATGGCCGGAAGCGGCCGAACACGGTGAGTACAGCTCGCGAATGTGCGGAGGGTCGACCGGCCAAGTTACGGGGAAAGCGCGGGCGTTGACGACATCAGGGGTACATGGCGGTGACGGCAGCGGGGACGTCAGGGACTGCATCGACGGTATGGCACTGCCCGACAACATCGACGGTCATCGCCTAGGCTTGTTGGATTCGAGTGGGGGGACGATGACGGGGTTTGGAGGGACCAACGGTGAGGGGGGGTTTGGGGGTGCCCAGTTCAACCCGCTGTCCGAGAGGGAGATGGCGAAGTTGAGGTGGGGGAACTTCATTTGGAGCTTCGTCACCGCGGGGCAGTACGTCAAGGACCAGTCGAAGATTAATGGGGACCGAAAGTTGCGTTGCAACTTATGCGGCCACTTGTTTCAGGGGGGGGCGTCGAAGGCCGCGCGCCATTTCACGCAGTCGAAGTATTGCAAGGCTGGGGGGATGAGAGTTCTCGCGGAACTCTGGAACGACACGGACTACACATTTGTGCCGCCCACTACTCAGCGGGTGCAAAGGTGGATGGCGGACGAGGGGATATTGGACACGAGAGCCCCCGCGGGTGGCCAGCGACAGAGGATGGACGACGGACAGAGGGACGAGATTCAGGACGGCCCTGATAAGGAGGAGGGCCGCGAGGGTGGGGTCAAGGAGGGAGGGTGGCAGACGAGGCAGACGAGGCAGTCAGAGAGCCTGACCTGCCAGGGGAGGAGGTGGTGATGACGTCGAGAGGCGTCAGTCGAGCGGGTCCCGCTCCTAGGGCGCCGCGACCTGAGTTGGAGCGTGCGAGGAGGGAGAAGAGGGCAGTGGGGGAGGTTGACGTCGAGGTGCGAGACACGGGCAGGGAGAAGAGGGCTCAACAGACGATGATTGAGGAGATGTACGACAAGGAGAAGTTGGCCGAGTTCACAGACACATGGCTGCAGTGGATCTATGTGAAGGGGTTGCCATTCAACGCGTTCCGTGGTTCGGAGTTCTCGAGGGTGTGGCAGGCGACAGAGAGAGTGCCTCACACTATCCAATTCCGGTTTCCCTCCTACAGGGTTACAGTGGGCGCCGTGATCCCTTCACAGAAGGCGAAGGTGGCGACGATGGTGAGCGAGGTGCGCGCCGCTTTCCGGCACACCGGTGCCACCATCCTCTCCGACGGGAGGAAGTTGCGCCGTGGCAAGCCGCTTGTGAACTTCCTCGCCGGGGGCGCCAATGGCGCCCTGCTAAACGCCACCGTCGCACGTGACGGGTCGGTCCGAGATACAGCGGACATCGTGTACCGTAGGTGGCGGGCCATCATCTTGTCCTTTCCCGCAAAGGACGTGATCGGCTTCTGCACAAACTCCGCAGCGCACAGATTCGCCACGGACCTTGAGCCCGACATTAGGAGGATCACTTGGCTCCCCTGCTCCACCCATGTCTGCAACTTGATGTTGTCAGATATCGGGACGCCCGTGGGGTGGGTCAAGGACACCATCATCCACATTCGAGCGCTTGTGTGATTTATTAAATCGCACGGCACTGCTCACGCCCTGTTTAGGAAGGTGAGCCCTCGTGTTCAGCTTGTCGAGGCCGTCGAGACACAGTTCGCATCGGTTTTCCTGATGCTGAAGTGTCTCAAGGGCCGACGAGATGCGTTGAAAGCATGTTGCACGGGGATGCTTGGGCACGCATCCCGTGGGAGCGCAGGCTTGTATCGCAGGCGCAGTGGGTGCAGCAGCAGATCCGGGACGGGGAGTTCTGGCGATGTGTCCAGTACGCCATCCTTGTCATGGCACCCGTCCACGAGCTGTTGCGCAGGATGGATAGGGGGGGGATGATGATGTCCGTCGTTTACGAGTGGATTCAGCATGTGCTGCGGTTGACGAGGACGGTCAACGTGCCGGCGAACATGCTCGAGCCGTGCGTGCGTGAGGTTGCCATCCGCAACCTCCACACGCTAGAGCCCGCACATGCCGCGGCCCACCTCCTCAACCCTCGTCGACGGTCCCTCACGTATTACGAGTCGTTACAGACGACCGTCGACGACGCCCGTGTGGTCGAGGAGTGCACAGATTTCTCCTGGAGAAGACTGGCGGCGATTCGGTCGGCAGACTGTACAAGACCGTGAGGGACTAGATGAGGCACTTTCACTCGAGGCGAGGGGATTGGGGAGATCGGTCCCTCTCCGATGCCGGGGCGAACGATTGCAGGGGGGACCGCGAGACTGAGCGTTGTGCGGCGTGGTGGTTTGACCATGAGCGTGCCCACCCAGAGTTGTGCACCATCGTCATCCGTGTCATGCACTTGTGGACGTATGCCTTTCCAGCGAAGAGGAACTGGGTGCAGCATGAGCGCATCAACACGGCGAGGCACTGCAAGCTTGGGTTTGCCAAGCTTGCACAGCTGGTTGAGATTGCCACCAATCTCAAACTGGCCTCGTGCACACGACAGGGTGGTGGCTACGTGTTGCCATGGGTTATGGGGACCGGTCGGGAGGGGACGGCAGCAGAGGACGAGGATGAGGAGGGAGACGTGGAGCTCGTGGTGTGTGGAGCGCGACCTGCTGGCAGTGTTCCCGAGCAGGACATCCAGCAACAGATTGTCGCTTTCCATGACAACTGACCGTCCAGAGCCCATTCGGTTCAGGACGTGTTCGGCAAGAGGGCGGCGGAGCTGCGACCGTGGCCGGAGGGTGGGGATGATGCGGACGCTGATGCGGGAGACGACGACATCGACGACCAGTGAACAAACGATGATGACGCGCCGCTGAGTGGCGACGAGACGGCTGAGCGGGTGTACTTCACTTACGGTGGGGGACGTGACGACATGACTTCATTCACATCAGTTATCACTGGTGATGTGCCGTCGACTGAACAGGCGAATGGGAGCACCAGACCCGGTGGTCGTCGTGGAGGACGTTCGCATGTGGAGGTTGGCGTCGACGACTCGGGGGAGCAAGACCCACGGGGAGGCCTTCGGCAGACAGGCAGGCGTTGGGAGGTTAGGAGCGACAGCGAGGCCGAGGAGGAGGCCGAGGATGAGCAGGTGCCCTTTCGCGATCGTCGCTTCTCTCCCTCCCATCATCTGAGCACTGCACAGCCCGAGGCACTTAGGCGTTCGGAGAGGTTGGCATCGACAGCAGGCAGAGACCGGACACATGACGGCGAGGATCGCAGGGGGGAGAGGACTCCTTCCGACGCCGGTATCCGCCCCCGCTTGGTGTCGGAGCTCCGCACACACGACTTTGATATCGGAGGACTTGGTGGGGGCTTGGGAGATTTCAGTGCGGAGGGACGTCGACGTGCCTCCCTGTCGGAGGTGCGCACCGATGAGGACGTTGTGCGGGACCGTGTTGAGACTGAGGAGGAGTGGGATGCCCGTTTGGACCGAGAGGAGGAGGAGCGGCTGCGGAGTTTGCCAGGATGGGAGGGTCGGTCCCCGTATCTCGAGGAGCAGCATTGGCAGAGGGAGTTGGAGACAGGAGGGGGGGGAGGCCGTGACGCCGACGACTCAGGTGTCCCTGAGGAGGCAGTTTAGGGGGAGTTTGTTGATGAGGGACAGGATGCCGCCGCGGGTGGTGGGTCAGGTGGTGGACGACGCGGCGACGGGGAGACCGCGGGTGATGAGGGGCAGGATATTGCCTTGGGCGGTGGGTCCCCTCGTGGAGGACGTGGCGACGGTGAGACGGCGGGTGATGAGGGATAGGGTGCCGTCGTGTGTGGCAGGGGAGAGGGTGGACCCAGTGGAGATGGGGATACCGCGGGTGTTGGTGGAGACGATGGACCGGACGGAGATGATGACGACGACCACGGTCCCGAGGACGATGCGTATAGGCTTGCCTTGGTGTTGAGGGACCCCACAGTCCCGAGGACGATGGCGCACACTTTCTTCGACGTCGACGCTTTGGCGCAAGCGTTGACGGATGACCCTTTCGCACACACGGGCCGCAGGAGCGGCAAGAGGCGGCCCCCTGGAGGGGAATATTCACCGCCGCCGTTCATAGTGCATAGCCCTCGATGGTCGGGTTCGTCGCTCAGCAACGTGACAGGGAGGGAGTCCAGAGCGGGTGAGGTAGGGTCCGGCAGACGCAGCAAGGGGGGCAGAGATAGTGCAGGATCGATGCCTCCACCGCCCGCACGGGCTACGAAGGCTGGCATTGACGCTGAGGACCAGACGGCGGCACTCGGAGTTGCGCACAGTGGCGGTTCCCCGCCGACAATCCGAGGTGGTGTGGGTGGCGGATGGTCAGCTGTTCGTCGGGTCGGGGACCGGTTGCTGGCGGATTACGACGCCGGGAGGGGCGTTTTCGCGGGACGTACGCCAGTTCAGACACAGGCTGCGGAGGGTGGGTCCAGACGTCCGAGCCTGGAGATGGCAGGCCGCATGCTCGGTTTGTCACGAGCGGCGACAAAAGGATCATTGGTCCTCGAGGCCACAGGGACATCCACCGACATCCTGCGGGGACAATAGTACACATCGGGCGAGAAGAGGTTGTTGATGCGTCCCGGGACGAGACGACAGCACGGCCTCTCGGAGGTTGAGGCTCGACTCGTGGCAAAGGTCTTCGCTGGCCAGGCAACATTGGACGCGATTCAGAGGGAGAGAGAGATGGGGATTGCTGCACGGGCGGCGGAGGACGAGGACGCAAACGCAGAGTCCGAGTCGATCGAGACTGCGGCCCGCAGACGAAGGGCACAGGTGGCCGCGGCAGCCGCTGCCTATGAACCCCACGCAGGCGAGGTCACCGCGGGCACGACAGCGGACTGAGGTCGCGACCGCGAGCCCGCGGTTATGACCGCGATCCACGGTCAAGAAAAAAAAACAAAAAAAAGAAAAAGAATTCAGAAAAATCTGAAAAAGATATATATGTTATGCCAAAAAATAAACTGAACAACTTTTGCCTTGGGGTCATATCAAAACTCGTTACCAAATTTGAGATAAAAAGCAAACAATTATTTATCTTACTAAAAGAATAAAGTAAAGAACTTTTGCCTGAGGGATTTCTATTTTTTATTTTCTAAAAATCCAAAACGAAGTCAAAAAATAAAACTAAAAATATACACTTGTAGAGCGCAAAAAAACCTACAACCTCATATTTTTTGTTTTGCTTTCGGCCTAAAAATATAGGGGGGTTTCGACCGCGGCCCTCGCCCGCAGCCGACCTCGGCAGTCGGGATCCCGACCGCGGGCCGAGATTGACCCCGCGGTCATGACCGTGGGGGATTCACAGGCCACTGCAGCACAAGCGGCATACCTCAGCAGGGCACAGGGCACAGGTGTCGGAGGGAGAGGAGGGCGCCGAGGAGGACCGCATGGTCGCCCGTCCTCCGGGAGAGGCCGCGCGTGCTCTGAAGGGAGATGACGACGTCCGTGTTTTTTTTTTTTTTCATTAATTTTTTTTTGTTTTGCGTGGCTGGACGCTCAATTGGCAGGGTTGTTGCATATTTATGTCGATGTTGTTCCATGGAGACGACGACAGTATATGAACATTAGGATTTTTTTTTATTTTTTTTTTTGCTACTCGGTTGTACGGTAGAGACGACGGGTCCAGTTTTTGGCTTCAGCCTTGTACATACGCATTTCCATTGAAATGCTTTGTCATTTATTTGCTCTTGTTCGTGTTCCTCTTCCAACCTTGGTTTTGCATCTGAGTCGCTGTTGTTTAGTGAGTGGTTTCCGTTTTGTTGTCGTAATTGTTGCAAATTATGTGCTTCTCCGATGCCACGCACCTGCATGTCATGGATGCCTCCATTATGAATGTGGTGTTAATTTCGGATGCCAAATAGGGATGATGTGCTAATGAATGTGTTTTTACACAAACTTCCACCAGTCTGATAAGTGAACACACACTATGACACACTTGCCGGTTAACATTGTTTAAAACTTATAGTTGGCCGCACTGTGATTGATTGTGAATGTGTTGTGACTTTGGTATGCTAACTAGGGTCTGACCTATGATTGCCATGAATGTGTTGTTTCAAAATATGTCACGAACTATCATCACCCTCACGAATGAATTCAAAGTCTGCCTAAGGCCCTGATTTGCCTGGGGTCTGCCATCTGCAGCCCTGCCAAGCTTCGTCCCGACCTGGCCGCACGGGACGCCCCAACCAGGCCCTCATCCAACCCCCGTTGGGCCGCCCCCGCAGGTGTCAAATATTTTTATTTTATTTTTCTAGTGTTCCAGACCCTCTTCCCTGCGACCCTGACTCCGACAATTTTTATTTTATTTTTCTAGTGCATCGCCGAGTGGAGGATCAGAGGAGAGATGTGTCCACGACTCCGACAATGCTGCGAAGAAGAGGCGGCTTGCTAGCAGGAAGGCGAGGAAGGAAGAGGCGAGTAGCAGTGTGAGCCCGTTGGGGAGGGCCATGGAAGATTCGACTTGTTCTTACTGCGATGGCCTGGATAAAGCGGCCAGCACTCTAGCCAAAGCCACCGCAGACGCTGGCACTGTAATCGCTCTTCGGATACGAGATGTGGCTGAAGCAATGCGGGGTGGCAACGTGGTCCTGGAATTGCTGGTGGGTGTTCTCGCCCGCCGGGGGGCGAACGGAGGTCCTGGTGGCGAAGGTGGGCGGGAAACGGACCATCATCACGGTGATATATATATATATATATATATGTGAAACTCCGACGAAACAGTTTGTCACAGCCCCTCGTTTGTTGTCCTCTTCTCCCTCTCTGCCTACGGTTTACCGGGCAGTTCTATTTGACGATATATATATGTATACATATATATATATAGACATAGATATATATGGACCCGCATCGTTGTGTCCTTGGGCGAGAACCGAACGGCCGTGTGCATGTCCCCATCGGCAGAGAACAACCGACAGGAGGGCCATGCGAATAAATGGATATATACATTTGAATATATACATATATGTATAAATTTAAATATATACACATATATGTATATTCGCATGGTCGTCCTGACGTTCGTTTTCCGGCGACTTGGACACGTGCACGGCTGTTCGATTCTCGTCCAAGGCCGCACATTGAAAAGGGGGAGGAGTACCCCGACAGCGCACACCCCGAACATATATAAAGAAGGGCAAATGATCACGCTGGCATGTTCATTCGTCAGTGCAGGATGCATGCCGAGGTGTTGTCTGCTCACTGTCGCTCGCTGGTATTCGGCGGGCTGGGGTGTTTGGAGGTGACCGGTTGGCCATAGATGGAGCGACAGATCCTGCGGC